GAAATTCTCCGTGCTGCCATCCGCCGTGAACCCAGCAGGGTCCCAGAAGCCCACGGGGTCCTGCACGCCCAGCTCGCTCTCGAACGCGCGCAGCGGGGATCCGGTGTACAGTGCCCAGTCGCCCCACGCGGAGCCGGTCAAACCGTCCTGGAAAAACATTCCGATGATAGCCATCATAGCAAGGCGACCGTTGGCAATCTCCGCTGCCAACTTCTTCTGCTTCTCCCCGGCGTCACTGGACGTCAGCACCTTAAAGCCAAAGTCGCCTGCGGCAGCAGCAGTGCCAGCGGACTGGTCCTGGGACAGCTCGCAGAACGCGCCGTACGCCACGATCTGCGCCCAGCCCGCCGCGGGAACCTTGGAGATCGCACCGAGCCCATTCGGGATGTCCGCGAACTTCAGGCCAGCCGAAGGCGACAGGTAGCCTGGCAGCTTGCCGGTGATTTCGGGCGTGATGTAACCCATCGTCGCCAGCATGCTCACGCGGCCGTGCTTGAGCTCTGTCTGGCTGTCTGCGCTCCTGCGAAGTTCGCCGTCTACACCGCGTGAACCCAGCAGGGTCCCAGAAGCCCACCGGGTCCTGAACGCCAAGCTCGCTCTCGAACGCGCGCAGAGGGGATCCCGTGTAGAGCGCCCAGTCGCCCCAGGCGGAGCCCGTCAGACCGTCCTGGAAGAACATGCCGACGATGGCCATCATGGCAAGGCGACCGTTCGCGATCTCCGCCGCAAGCTTCTTCTGCTTCTCCGCGGGGTCGCTGGACGTAAGCACCTTGAAGCCGAAGTCGCCGGCCGCGGCAGCGGTGCCAGCGGACTGGTCCTGGGACAGCTCGCAGAACGCGCCGTACGCCACGATCTGCGCCCAGCCCGCTGCGGGAACCTTGGAGATCGCGCCGAGCCCGTTCGGGATGTCCGCGAACTTCAGGCCAGCCGAAGGCGACAGGTAGCCTGGCAGCTTGCCGGTGATTTCGGGCGTGATGTAGCCCATGGTCGCCAGCATGCTCACGCGGCCGTGCTTCAGCTCTGTCTGGCGCCTCCTGGCGAAGTTCGCCGTGCTACCATCCGCCGTGAACCCAGCAGGGTCCCAGAAGCCCACCGGGTCCTGAACGCCAAGCTCGCTCTCGAACGCGCGCAGAGGGGATCCCGTGTAGAGCGCCCAATCGCCCCAGGCGGAGCCAGTCAGACCGTCCTGGAAGAACATGCCGATGATGGCCATCATGGCCAGGCGACCGTTCGCGATCTCCGCCGCAAGCTTCTTCTGCTTCTCCGCGGGGTCGCTGGACGTAAGCACCTTGAAGCCGAAGTCGCCGGCCGCGGCAGCGGTGCCAGCGGACTGGTCCTGGGACAGCTCGCAGAACGCGCCGTACGCCACGATCTGCGCCCAACCCGCCGCGGGAACCTTGGAGATCGCGCCGAGCCCGTTCGGGATGTCCGCGAACTTCAGGCCAGCCGAAGGCGACAGGTAGCCTGGCAGCTTGCCGGTGATTTCGGGCGTGATGTGCCATGGTCGCCAGCATGCTCACGCGGCCGTGCTTCAGCTCTGTCTGGCGCCTCCTGGCGAAGTTCGCCGTGCTACCATCCGCCGTGAACCCAGCAGGGTCCCAGAAGCCCACCGGGTCCTGAACGCCAAGCTCGCTCTCGAACGCCGCCCTCACGACTCTGTGCTGCGCGGGGCCCTGCGGGCGCGCCCTCCTGCCGGCGCTGGACAGCGCACCCCTGGTGAGCAGGGCGAGGGCCACGGACGCCCCGACCGCTGCCAGGCCGACGCCGACGGGCGCCGCGGGCTGGGCGGCGGGCGCCGGGCCAGGTGCCGCCGCGGGATCCAGGGTTGCCTCGGTGTGGCTGCCGAGCCCGCGCTGGCCGAGCGGCGCCGCCACGAAGGCGTTGCCCACCTGGCACGCCACCAGGCCAGCGGCGAAGGCGGCGACGAGGGCGGCGATGCTGGAGCGAAACATCGTCCCCGTTGTTTGAAGATGGCACCTCGGATAAAAAATTAGAGCTGGACGCCCAAGTTGAAAAAAAACGGCTTTGAGCCAAAACGGCTACACGGGACGTGGTCGGAGGGGAGGCGACGTTACAATACTATCATGTATGTGTTTTTGGGCCAAACAGAGATCACCTATTGGACTAGCGGGGTTACGTTGCAAACTGGATGTAGGCAGCGATGTTAAGTAAGACGTTTTAGCCACCCGAAAGGTTCCCCACGACACCCCGACATATATACAAGAGGCCACAGACCCACAGCCCAGGCACGGTGGCGGGATGGGCCGACGGCCACTAGGATCCGCCGCCCCCTGTCGATTCATCGCAGGGGTGCCTGGCGTGCTAGACCCTCTCGGTTTTGGTTTTGGCTTTTTTTCCAAAAGAACTCCCCCTGGGGCTTCGGCCCGTCCCGCCGGGGTCCCGGGAGGGACCTCAATTGCACAATTTGACCTCCAAGACGGCTCAAGATGGCGCCAAGATGGCCACGGTGGCCCAATATGGCCTCCAAGATGGTCCAAGATGGCCTCCAAGTTCGCCCAAGATGGTCCAAGACGGCGTCCAAGACGGCCCAAGAGAGTCCAAGACGGCCCAAGACGACCCAAGAGGCCCCCCAGAGGCTTCCAAGACGGCTCAAGAGGCCTCTGAGAGGTCCTCCAGGAGGGCCCGAAGAGGCCAAAATCATTGATGTTCCTTCGATGTTTGAAGAATTGTGGCATTCGCTTCTTCTCGGCTTTCCGACGACCCAAGACGGCCCAAGAGGCCCCCAAGATCGCCCCCACAGCGCCCAAGAGGCATCCAAGATGGCCTCAAGGCTGCCCAAAAGGCCCCCAAGACGGCCCCAAGAGGGCCCCAAGACGGCCCAAGAGGCCTCCAACACGCCCAAGATGGCCTCTAAGACGGCCCTGGAGCACCCCAAGAGGGCCCCAAGTCGGCCCAGAAAGGCCCCCTAAGCGACTTCCGACGCCGTCAGACGGGCCAGGAGTCCACCAAGATGGCCGAAGTTGGCTCGAAGCTGGCCCAAGACGGCCCAAGAGGCCTCCAAGAGGGCCTCCAGGAAGGCCAGAAAAGATCAAAAACACGAATTTCCCGTAGGTGTTTGAAGTAGTTTGACATTTGCTTCGTTTCGGCTTCCGACGGCCCGATACGGCCCAAGAGCCCCCAAAGATCGCCCAAAGATTGCCCAAGAGGCCTCCAAGATGGCCCCAGAACGGCCCATGATGCCCCCAAGACGGCCCCACGAGGCCCCCAAAACGGCCCAGGAGGCTTTTTTGAGACGCCCAAGATGGCCTCCAAGACGGCCCTGGAGCACCCCAAGAGGGCCCCAAATCGGCTCAGAGAGGCTCCCCAAACGGCTTCCGACGGCGTCGGACGGGCCAGGGGCCCACCAAGACGGCCGAAGATGGCACTAAGATGGCCCAAGACGGCCCAAGAGGCCTCCAAGAGGGCCTCCAGGAAGGCCCTAAAATGCCAAAATCATTGAGTTCCAATGAGTTGTTGAAGGATTGTGGCAGTTGCTTTGTTTCGGCCTTCCGACGGCCCGAGAGGCCTCTAAGATGGCCCCATGATGGCCCAAGTGGCCTCCAAGACGGCCCCAAGAGGGCCCCAAGACGGCCCAAGAGGCCTCCAACACGCCCAAGATGGCCTCCAAGACACCCAAGATGGCCTCTAAGACGGCCCTGGAGCACCCCAAGAGGGCCCCAAGTCTGCCCAGAAAGGCCCCCGAAACGGCTTCCGACGGCGTCAGACGGGCAAGGAGCCACCACGATGGCTATAAGATGGTCCAAGACGGCCCAAGAGGCTCCTAGGAGGCCTCCAAGAGGGCCCAAGAGGCCTCCAAAAGAGCCTCCAGGAAGGCCCGAAGTTACCAATGCCATTGATTGCTGTTGGTTTTTGAAAGATTGTGGCATTTGCTTCTTTTCTGCCTTCCGACGGCCCGAAACAGCCCAAGAGCCCCGAAAGATCGCCTCCAGGAAGGCCCGGAGAGGCCAAAATCATTGATTATCCATGGGCTGCCTTGAAAGATTACGGCGTTTGCATTTCGTCGGTTTCCCGACGGTCTAGTCGTATTATTAGTATTAACAATATTATTATCATTATTATTATTATTAGTATTATTATTCTTATTACTATTATTATTATCAATATTATTAGTATCGTTATTATTATTAGTACTATTATTATTCGTGTTATTATTATTAGTAGTATTGTTATTAATATGAGTATTATTAGTATTATTAGTATTATTAGTAGCATTAGTATTGTTATTATTAGTAGTATTATTATTAGTAGTAGTATTGCTATTATTGTTATTAGGATTAGTATTATTAGTAGTAGTATTAGTATTAGTATTGTTAGTAGTATGTGTTGTGGTCGTATTGTTAGTAGTATTACTATGATTATTATTAGTAGTAGTATTATTAGTAGTATTATTATTGGTACTATTATTCGTAATACTAATCTTATTATTCTGCTTAGTAGTAGCATTCGTCGTCGTAGTCTTAGTGATTCTCCTTAGTCTTACTAGCAGTATTGGTCTGATTTTTCTTGTTCGTGTTAGTCATAGTCTTCTTATTCGTATTATTACTAGAATTGTGTTTCGTATGATTCGTCTTCTTCTTAATATTATTAGTCCCAGCGATAATCTTATTATTATTCGTGTTCTTCTTCGTATGCGTATTATTAGTATGAGGCTTATTATCATTATTCGTATTATTCTTACTATTATTATTATTCGGCATAGTCTTCTTATGTTTCTTATTATTGTTATTCTTCGCATTCGTATTATTATTTGAGTATTCGTCTTCTTCTTATTACTACTAGTATGAGTATTACTCTTATTTGTCGCATTAGTACTATTAGTATTCGTCTTGTTCTTGTTATCAGTATTAGTATGATTATCCTTCTTCTTCTTACTATTAGTATTATGCTTCTTCTTCTTCTTCATAGTATGATTCCTCTTCCTCTTCTTCCTCCTCCTCCTCATCCTCCTCCTCCTCCTCCGCCTCCTCCTCCTCCTCCTCCTCCTCCTCTTCCTCCTCCTCCTCCTCCTCCTCCTCCTCCTCCCTCCTCCTCCTCCTCCTCCGCCCCCTCCCCCTCCCCCTCCCCGCACACCCCTCCCCCTCCCCTCCCCCTCCGCCTCCGCCTCCGCTCCCCCTCCGCCTCCGCCTCCTCCTCTCCTCCTCCTCCTCCTCCTCCTCCTCCTCCTCCTCCTCCTCCCCTCCTCCTCCTCCTCTCCTCCTCCTCCCTCCTCCTCCTCCTCCTCCTCCTCCTCCTCCTCCTCCTCCTGCTCCTCTTGTTCTTCTTATTATTATTGTTATTATTATTATTATTATTTTTATTATTATTAGTATTATTAGTATTCTTTTTCTTCTTCTTATTATTATTATTATTATTCTTATTCTTCTTATTCTTCTTTTTCGTATTATTCGTCTTAGTATTCTTCTTATTGTTCTTCTTATTCTTCTTAGTATTCTTATTATTCTTATTAGTATTATTATTCTTCTTCTTATTATTATTCTTCTTATTCTTCTTAATATTATTATTTTTCTTATTCTTAAAATTATTATTATTCTTATTCTTCTTATTCTTCTTATTATTATTATTATTATTCTTACTATTATTATTATTATTATTATTATTACTATTCTTCTTCTTCTTATTCTTCTTATTATTCTTCTCATTATTCGTATTACTATTATTCTTTTTATTATGATTATTATTATTCTTATCATTCTTCTTATTATTATTATTATTATTCTTATTCTTCTTGTTATTAGTATTAGTATGATTAGTATTATTATTCTTATTATTAGTCTTATTATTATTCTTCTTATTCTTAGTATTCTGAATATTCTTCTTATTATTATTCTTATTATTATTATTCTTCTTCGTCTTCGTCTTATTTTTCCTCCTCCTCCTCCTCTTCCTCCTCCTCCTCCTCCTCCGCCTCCTCCTCCTCCTCCTCCTCCTCCTCCTCTTCCTCCTCCTCCTCCTCCTCTTCTTCCTCCTCCTCCTCCTCCTCTCTCTCTCCTTTTCCTCTCCTCCTCCTCTCCTCCTCCTCCATTTCCTCCTCCTCCTCCTCCTCCTCCTTTTCCTCCCCCTCCGGCCTCCTCCGCCTCCTAGCTCCTCCTCCTCTCCTCCTCCTCCTCCTCCTCTTCTTATCCTCTTCTTTTCCTCTCTCTCTTCCTCCTCCCTTCCTCTCCTCCTCCTCCTCCTCCTCCTCCTCCTCCCTCCTCCTCCTCTTCCTCTCCTCCTCTC